CTACCCATGTCTAATCAACTAGTACTGAGCAAATTGCCGGCACATGTTTATTTTTTGACTATTGTTGTGCGAAAAAAGTATTTCGTTGTGTTATTCTTAGTGAAAATTCATAATTATATGATAATAATGAGTGGCAGGAGATTTACTATTTGGGCTTATTTTAGAGAGACTGATGACTAAAGTAAAGTGAAATTTACTAATGTAATGTAATGTTTTTTTTATTTGATTCTTAAAACATTTTATCAAGCTTTATATTTGCTATAATTGAAAATAAATCTACAGTGCCTAAAAAACATAACGCTATACAAGCGGATTTAACCCATAAATAAAATATACTTTCAATAATAAAATTATGAAAGACATGGCATTACTCAATTCGTACATTTTAATACAGTGGACACCTTGAGTAGCACTTTAACGAATTTTCGGTGATATAGCCGAATATTCGGCCAAATACGAATATTCTTTAAAGCTGCCGAATATGCTGAATACCGAATGTAAAACGAATATTCGGCCCATCCCTAAAAATATCTTCGTAATTTGTAGTCTTTTTTTAAAATAAAAAACTAGTGATCGGGCCCTGCTTCGCACGGGTGATGTCTGGTCACCATTTTGAAACCATTTTCGAATATCCTTAACCCCTCAGGCCCCTTAAAATTCTCATGCAGTCGCATGCGCCCGGCAAAACCCGAGCGGTTGCATGCTACGGCACCCACCCGCAGCACTTAAAACCATTAAAACTTAGATTTGGAGACTACTTTTCTAATTTTCTATGAAGAAGTTTGGCATTATAAAATCTATACAAAATTCTCTATATAAAAGCCAGGTTTTACATAATACATAAAACACTCACGCTTGTCACCCAGAGGGGTAGGCAGAGACTACAGACTTCCATTTGGCACGATCCTGACACACCTCTCTCGCCTCCTTCACATCCATAAACCTCCGCATACATGCTCGTCGGTTAAGGGTACTCCTAATTTGGCCCGTTTTCAATAAATCGCCAATTTGGTCGATAAATTTTCGCCTAGGACGTCCCTTTCCGACTCTGCCATTCACTTCTGCAACATAAATTTTCTTTGTCACTCTTTCCTCATTCATTCTTTCCACATGACCAAACCACCGAAGCATTCCTTTCTTAATCCTGGTCACAACATCATCTTGCAAACCACACTCTTCTCTTATTACACAATTTCTTACCCTGTCATTCAGATTCAGCCCTAACATACTCCTTAACGACCGCATTTCTACTACATTTATTCTACTCTCGTGCTTCTTCTGCCACACCCAACTTTCACTACCATACGTTAAAGTAGGGACATTTAGTTCATTACAAAAAGACTATTGTATTTTGATAACAAAAACAAAACATACCAAGCGAATGTCGGCAGCGTGAAAATCACAATTATTTCAATATATATTACTCAAAATTATTTACGTAAAAAGATAAATTATATTCATACAGAAACTATTCTTACAATTTTATAATAAAATACTATACTGAAACACTAGAAAAATCAAAAAATCAGCACACTAGCATTCACACGAAAATGGCTTACGAAATAAACGTAGATTATAAATAAATATTCATAGGATAACAGTTTTTTATTGCACTAGAGGATAGATTATTTCATATTGATTATATAATGCCAAACTTCTTCATGGAAAAGTAGTCTCTATATATAAATGTTTATAAGTACTGTGGGTGGGTGCGACCTCATGAGACCGCTAGGAATTTGACGGAATATGGCCGCGGTCTCACGAGACCGCTTGGGGGCTGAAAGGTTAACCACACACAACATTTTATCAAAATCGGTTCAGCCGTTTGGGAGGAGTTCAGTGACAAACACATCATTTACAGAAGAATAATGCAATAAACGGCCAAATTTGCAGAGAAGAATAAGTAATATAGGCAAACGGTGAAGAAACATTTATAAAAAATATCTCAAAAATTCTGTCCTTTTTATCTTTTAAATTCAAAATGCGTGGTGATGTATTATTTTAACACTTTGACAGCCAATCACGACCCTGGGTCGTGACGCTTAGTTTTGCTCCGTGCGCCGATCACGACCCCAGCGCGTCATCGGAATTCCTTGAATTTATTCTAAAAATTCAAGGAAATAACGGGGTCGGCGTTTGTTGCATTTTGTAGCTACATTGTTTAGTTACACACACATAGGATTCATTTACGTAAGGAGGTTCGGAGGGGTGCAAGGGGAAAGATTGCGAGGAATGCGTCGAGCCCGGCGTACAATCACAAACACGCGGTGGTTACGTTCGTTCGGGTCACGACGCGACTATCGACTTACATCGAATGACATTGTGGAAGCTCTGTGCGACGATGAAGACTCGGATGTGGAGTCATGTGTGTAGGAGGAAATTGAAGGTAATTTTTTTTTATATTCAGGTATATATAAGTACTAGTTGTTTTTGTAAATGAGTTTTGAATGAGTTCATTTGATTGATTATTTATTGTTTGCTTTTTTTAGCGACTACGGTTTGTGATGTCCAAGAAGAGGAGGAGGATGTTGAAAATATGCCGATGAATGTCCCTAGACTCGAACCTGAACAAACCCGTGTTCCGGAACGTGCATGGAGGGCAGTTCGAGGTCGACGAAATCAGCGGGGGCGGACCGCACTTTCATCTACTCTAGAACGATCGTCGCATTCGACAACTAACCTAAAAGAAATGGATGAAGCCATCGGGTGGACGTATACACCAAGAGAACAGCCTCCTGAAAACCCCGTTTTCGAACAGGTTAAAAAAGTTTTAGCCCCCAATATCAAAGAGAATTCATCGGAATTGGATTGTTTTTTCATTTTTTCCCCGAGTCGTTTTGGAAGCCACTAAAAATGGAAACCAATAGATATGCAGGTCAAATGAAAGCAAAGCAGGCTAGAAAAGGTCTGCTAAAACCAGGTACCATGTTGCACACCTGGAAACCGGTCACAATTTTATAAATGAAAAAGTTTTTGTGCATAATTATTCACATGACTTTAGTTCAGAAAGAAACTTTAGATTCGTACTGGTCAACTAGAGAAATTATTCATACACCCTATGCTAGCAAAATAATAGGGCTCGGTTTAGGGCTATTTATAGCTGTTTACATCTAAACGATAATTCTAAGCACATCGCACGAGGTCAACCAAACTACGACGCCTTCTTCAAGCTGCGACCATCCTTGATGAGCTCAGTAAATTGTGTAAGGAGAGCGTCTACCCCGGGAAAGAATTGACTATCGACGAGGGAACTTGTAGTTTCAGAGGAAGAATCCATTTCCGAGCTTTCAACAAAGACAAGCCCGACAAGTACGGCATGAAGATCTACATGTTGTGCGGTGCTGAGACTGGCTATATTTTGAGAATGATACCTTACGTTGGTGACTCAAAAACTGTCACTCAAATAGTCACAGAACTCACCGAGCCTTACTTCGACAAATGGCATACTGTTTACATGGGCAGATACTTCACCAGCCCTACTGTAGCCGATTTGTTTTGGCTTAGAAACACACGCATCGTTTGCACTGTGATGTCAAATCGACGTGGCTTGCACGAAATGGCATTCTGTCACCGCGGAAATTTAACAGCCTGTTAGTGCAAAGACAAGCGGGATGTCCACTTCCTTACAACAAAGCACGCCGCCTCCTGGACGGAGGTCACAATAAAGGCTAAAGGAGGACCCACAAAAAGAATCAAGCCTGACTGTGTTACAATGTCCACAAAATCGGGATTGACCTACATGGCCAGTACGTGTCATTTCCCTGCACAGGAAGTCCATGAAATGGTGGAAGAAGATGTTTTTCCATTTAGTGGCTAGAGCAACGGTGAACGCGTACATAATTTATAATAAATCAAGAACGCAGGCACGGAGACCGAAATTTTTCAGTTTCTAAACACCTGCGGCGACGCTCTCCTGGAGAATGTACGGTCTGCTGGAGCTGATAGTGCTGCTGGACCATCTCATGGTCCACATCCCACTGCAAAGTCTACTAGGTTGGTGGGTAGACACTTCCATAGACGAATACCGCCGACTGCGACAAACACAAAAGTCACACGAGTCTGCAAGGTTTGCGCGGACACTATTAAAAACAGACAGGCAAACGGGGAAGGAAGGAAACTGTCTGTCACTATCCTTGCTTTGAAAAGTATCATACTAAGAAAGATTTCACGGTGTAGGACTAAAGAAAAGCACGTAATCGCGGACTTATATTTATGTAAGAGTTTTTTTTTTTTGTAGAAAATAGGTGTGAGTAGATGTTTTGATTTTCTAAACAATATAAAGTTAATATACTTTGTTTTATTTTTTATTGTAAAAATAAATTAGTTATTCTAGCATATACAAAAATAATTAAATGTATTACTTTTTTAGTTATTTTTACATAAAATTTGCAAAAATGCCGTAAATGGCCGGCGTACAAGGGAATGCTCGTTACAAAATTCTTGGCTGTCAAAGTGTTAATTGAGTTTACTGCGCACGCACACGTTCATTAGGGTTGATCAGTAGGCAAAAAGTTATTGCCCATGTAAAGTTAAAAAAGTTAAGTTACATCCTATATACGCCCCACTGCTGGACACAGGCCTCCCCTCATTTTTGAGAGGGTTTTAGGGCAAGGAAGTGTTCGCCGCGCTGCCCCAATACGTATTGGCGAACTTCACAAGTCTTCGAAATATTTTTTTTTCTTATTCCTCAGACATGCAGGTTTTTCATTGCCCATGAATCGCATTCAATTTGGGATAATTTAAAATAAAAGAAGAATCCTTATTTATTCGTAATTTCAAAAACTGCAATCATGGTATATCATTATTTATATATTTAAACTTAAGTTTAAAATTTGGCTGCTCTTTGAAAAATATATATCTTTTTAATTCTTTTTTTTATTTAGGTTTAGGTTATTTTTAACATGTCAGTCCCATTGTACTTTATAACTAAATAACACAATACAATTTAAAAAAATATATTTAGCAATTTATTAACAAAATTATTATTTGTTTTTTTATAGATTACTTATCAAAGCATCCAAACAATAAATAGAGAAAATAACCTCCTTGCTTCGAATCTATCAATAAAATGTTACAATCCAGACCACTGTGATCTCTACATAGAGCACACGGATCCAACGGAAACACAAACAGACGCGAAAGGGGAACTCCCGCAAATACAAGATGTCTGCACGTTAGATACAGAAATAAAAAATGAGACAAATAATGAAATATATATTAACGAAGCTGATGAAGTAGCTGAAGATATTAAAGAGGAAGTAGTACATGATGATATCAACAGAGATTATTCTACAGACGATAGCCTACCTCTAGAGAAGAGGAGGACGAAGAAGAAGAAAACAAAGAAGGAAACGGTGAAGAAAGTGAGGAAGAAAAAGGCTAAGGATCCAGCGGAACCGAAGATCGACAGGAGAAGGAAACCATTCCTGAACGATGATCTCAATGAAACGCTTTTCACAATAACTGATCTGTCCCACGAGGAGCAAGTGGCAGAGATCCTGAAGAGGCAGGATTCCTCCAATTATAAGAATTCGGTCTTCAAGTGCACGGCTTGCTTCAAGGGGTTCTTGGATGAGGACGCTTACAATTGCCACATGACTAGGCATACTGACGTAAGTTGGTCTTTACTTAGTTCATTTTTTATTCTGTTGTAATCTATCTTCTGTATGCATAAAAAATTCTTATTGTTATTTTATAGAATTGGCGTTTCTTTGCAGAAATCTATTATAATATGTTAAAATGAATTAGCCAAGATCATAACATCAGATCATAAAATAAAATGATGTATTTTACCTAGATTGAAGAGCATCTCCAACACCCCTTTCTCGATTACGTGCACTATATGACATACTAGGAAAGACCTCGAATCACTACCGTCGATAATATGACACGTATTTCGCCACTAAACGAAGCATCTCCAGGGATTTCCCCTGAAGATGCCTTGACAATAGCTGACCGCTAAGTTTTGACGATTTACTGGGATTACATAGGATTATAAGTGGTAGAGTCACGCTGCAGCTATATCATGATTGTAGCATGCATGGGTAGGATCGACACAGATTATCAGCGTAAAGTAGCAGCTCAGTATATAATGATTTCTTATCTTATTAAAAAGTTAAAGGTACTCCGGGTTAACATTTATATGGGGACGTCAGTCACCTCAGACCCCCGTGACCATGTGTGCTGGAAAGCACCCGAAACGTCGCGAATTAAAAATCATTTAAAATCAAACGCGATAAAATCCGTAAAAGTAGTTTTAATCAATAGTAGCTCAATGTTACTGTGTTTTGTATGGTAAGTGTAGAGAACCGGAGACTCTATTGGAAACGAGGCGTTTCATCTAGTTTTCAGGGGTGACAACGCATCTGCATTTTGATTCTTAATGGAGGATATATGTAGATGTCTATGGGCCGCAGCAATCACTTACCATCAGTTGGACTGTGTGCTCATTTGTCACACTTATTCTATAAAAAAATATATTATGAAACTGATTAGTGGTGCATAAGAATATCCACTAACTCGTAATCAAAGAAAGAAAGAAAAACTTATTTGAAATCACAGAAAAAAATAACTCGAAATATTACAATGAAAAATAAAATGGATTTTTGTGAAGTCAAATTAGGTCCCTATTTCAGCTAACTGCTGCTGTACTAAATGATAGCAGCGCTGATTTTCAAATAGAGCCCAATATTCACTTCACGGATGGTCATACGTTACTTAAAGTTAAAATTTATTTCTGAGAGATGAGTGGGGAAGGAATCAGCATAAAAGAGGTATTAATTGGAACTAATAACACAATGTTTAAGTGAACTGTACACTTGCATATCCCATGTATATCTATACATCAATACATACGTATATACATCATACACATTTAAATGTACATACATATACATTATAAAGTGCTCACCAGCTCAACATCATATAGTATATTATCTAATCTTAATAAACTAAAAAACTGAATTTAATTGTAAAGACTACGATTTAACAACAATAAACAAAAAGAAACGAAACAGTGGGTAAACAGAAAAATTAGTGAGGGAATTAAAAACAATCAAAATAATCACGTCTCGTAATCGATATTTATTTTAAAGTATCGAATTCGTATCAATTTCGATATATTTTAAAATGATATATGTATTTAAAAAAATAAATAAAAACAATTAAGCATGAAAAGCGACCGTAAAAGGCTGTTGTTTTTTGTTCATCGTCCGAACGTCCAGTAAGAAAATGACTTTATTCGTACGTTAGCAACTATAAAAGGATTTATGTGCTGTTGTTTTTTTTCATTGTCAAAACGTCCAGTAAGAAAATTTTGTCCCTAATCCTACTATATCATGCAAAACATGACGATATATATATATATATCGATACTGTTCAAAACTGTTCAAAACTATGGATATATTTTTTCACTTGCCCATCCCTATATGTATATCCATTAATACCTTCATCTATTGTCAATCTGGTAATTATTACGGTAAGTCCTTTATAGAGCATGAGATGTAAATTTTCGTGGAGTGCAAAAAGAAGTGGCTCTATACTATTTCTTGTGCATTTGATAGTTCCCACTATTGTTTGGGGTAGGTCACATGGTTGACTTTAATGATTTCTTAAATTTTTTTTGACTTTGTTCAAATCCACCATATAAGTTGTACTTTAAGGTACTAAACTATTGTATTTTGTGAACAACTAATAGTATTTTGTTTTAGCAATGTGGTGAATATGAGTGCGAGATATGCAAGACGCATTTCAAACATCCCCACGCGTTAAGGAAACACATAACGGCTCACCATACCCAACGGTTCAGCTGCAATCAGTGCCCCTATGTGACCACACATCGGTGAGTGTTTTTGGAACATATTTCATCGTCGTAATCATTACAGCCCCTCACAAGTCCACTGCTGCATGTCGAATATGGCCCCGAATTCAGTCGGCGCTTAATCTAGTGGAGGTTGGGGGGTGGCCCCTCCACTAGATTAAGTGACAACTGGATTAATAGAGTGGCCTTTTTTATTTATTTTTTGCATAATGTATGCAAAAATTTAGTACAACACATTAACATAGCTTAACAAAAATTTATTCACTCTTGCTTTGAAGACATCCACATTGTAAAAGACGCAAATACAGACGCAGGCAAATTATTTCACTCCTCTCCTGTACGTATTACGAAAGAGGAAGGAAAGTGTTTAGTTCAAGTGCATGGCATGTTGAGAACAAAGGGAAATTGATTGGGAGGATCTGATTATCCGATGGTGGAAGAGTAAGAAATCCAGTTTTGTTGTTATGAAATTTAAGTTTTTTTTGTCTTATAGGAATGTGAAATGGTAGGTGAATGTGAATGTGACCCAAAGAAATCTACATCTATCCTCGATTAAGAATCAAAATGCAGATGCATTAGTAAAAAGGCAAGGCGTGGTGAAGAGTGCACGCCTTGCAATACATAATGCAGTGTTGGTACCGACTTTGTTATATGGCAGCGAAACCTGGGTATGCCAGAAGAAGCATAAAAGCAAGTTGAATGAAGTGGAGATGCGATCTCTTCGTAAAATGTGTGGCGTTACCTTAGCCGACCGAAAGCGAAACGAAGAGATTCGCAATATGGCAGGATTGAAAGATGACCTTATCACAAAAATTGATAGGGGCGTACTCCAATGGTTTGGGCACGTTGAACGAATGAGTGAAGACCGAATGGTGAAGAAAATTATATAGAGCGAAAGTAAATATTAAAAGGTGTCGAGGTAGACCGAGACTAACTTTCGAAGACCATGTGAGCAAATTGCTCGAAGAGGGGAGGGTCAAGAGTACTCGGATACCTAGACGTGATGAAGAAGTTAATGAACCTGAAAGAAGCGAAAGAGGTTATGTAAGGATCGTGACACTTGGCGATCTGTTCTCTCTGGCTACCCCGTCAGGGATTGTGCGTGAAGATAAGTAAGTAAGTAAGTAAGTAAGATGCATTGTCACACCTGAGGACAAGATGGAATGCCTCGTTCCTAGTAAAAAGTGTTTCCGGTTCTCTACACACCATACAAAACAAAGCAACATTAAACTACTGTTTTACACTGGTATTCTGTGAGAGCGTGGTCCTTCCCCGGTTGAGCCGACCCATTCATGCTACAACTATACCACTATAGTCAACCAAATCTAAGAAATACATTTTAACAGCTGTCAGACTTATTGCACCAAGCATGCCAACCAAAAAATAGGAACGTAGAATATTCGATTCTTAAAAAAATCGATATCGATTATGTGGAGGTAATCATTTACAGTTTGGTTTGAATAATACAAGAATAAATTAAAAACGGGATAATTTAAAATATAAGATTTATCAGTTTCTTCGTATTTATTTTTACTGATTATTTCTAGAGGCGAAGTTATAAAAATTTAAGACTGAAACCAGATTAAAAATATATTTATTCAATCACTTTCTGTACAACTAGTTGAGTTGTCTTTGTTTAGATTATTGTTTGTTTTTCAATAATGCAGTCAAAATTAATGTCTCAAAGTCATACATAATCAATTTTTTTTTGATTTTTCTACCACTTTTGCCCAATCATTATTTGTGACATTGGCCCATGCTTCAACGAATATAGAAGAAACAATCCAAAAAGTTAAAGCCGAGTCACAAAATAAGAAGATAAACATAAAATCACAAAATTACACACAGTAAGCCCCCGAAATGGCAGAAGATTGAAAAGACGTAGTGGTTTTTTCAACGCGGCCTTGTATATGAGTTTTTTGCCTACATAAATTTACGTTGACAAAGTAAAAAAAAACTTGTTTTATTAATGATTCATGTAATTTAAGGAAGTTTAAAAATAAAAATTGAATTAAAAAATAATACATTAAAAAATTTATGACTCAATTTTTTGAGTACTTTTGCCGATTATTTGAATATTTCTGCCGATTATTTGCATAACAATGAATTTTAATCATCCAAACACTACGGTAACGGACATAGCGACATATCATTGAAGCGACGTCAAATAAAAAAGTTGATACTGTTTTTTTTTAATGTTTTGCTTTATTTGAAAGACTCGAATTCAAATTAGTGATAAAAAACTATACACGTTGTAATGAAATATAGATAACTTCATAATTCTTCAGATTTACGTAAAAGGTTATTTTAAATCGTGTGAGTCCGCTGGTGCAAAGTTATTGCAGAATGATTAAAGTGAAATGTCAAAAGGTATTTCTTAGATTTGGTTGACTATAATATAAGTGCAGCATGGCTCTACCACGGATAATTATTTTCGTATAAATGTTTACTTTCTGTTCAGTCAGACGGCGAGACTGCACGAGAGATGGCACAAAGGCACCAAGTACCAATGTCCGCATTGTCAGGATGAGTTCGTGTGAGTATTTTTATAGTTCAGACAGAACAACTTTAGTCTCATCTAGCACGCTCGGCTCTAACACTCAATGGGGCATTTTTTTCTACAGTAAATTCACAACATACATGGGCCACATCCGCATAAAGCACCCGTCGGACTTCGTGTGCGAGTTGTGCGGGTATTCCTTTGTAAGCGAGAAAGGGATAGAGCTACATAAGAAGCTGAAGCATCGGCTCGAGAGTGACAAGGTGAGATATATCTATTTTATTCTTTACTTAACCCTTCAAGCGCCATAAAATCCTAAGCAGTCGCATGCGCCCGGCAAATCCCGAGCGCTCGCATGCGACCGCACCTACCCGCATCATTTATAACCATTTCAACTTATATTTAGAGACTACTTTTCTATGAAGAAATTTAGCATTATAAAATCTATACAAAATTCTCTATCTTGTGGTCTAAACTAAAGTCAGGTTTTACTTCATTACAAAAAGATTTCGTTGTATTTTGATAACAAAAAAAAAATACCAAGCGAATGTCGGAAGCGTGAAAATCACAATTATTTCAATATATATTACTCGAAATTATTTACATAAAAAGATAAATTATATTCATACAGAAACTATCCTTACAATTTTATAATAAAACACTATACTAAAACACTAGAAAAATCAAAAAATCAACACACTGGCATTCACACGAAAATGGCGTACGAAATAAACGTAGATTATAAATAAATATTCAATCAGGATAACAGTTTTTTATTGCACTAGAGGATAGATTATTTCATATTGATTATATAATGCCAACTTCTTCATGGAAAAGTAGTCTCTATATATAAATTTTTATAGGTTAAAGTACTGTAGGTGGGTGCGACCTCATGAGACCGCTAGGGATTTGACGGAATATGGCCGCAGTCTCATGAGACCGCTAGGACGTTGAGATGTTAAATAACGCGAATAATTCGTCATGTAGTAGCGTAAGAAAATCTACTGCCCCATATCATCCAGCGAATGTCGTAAGAGGTGACAGAGGGAAAATGAAACAGGAGATGGGCTACAGCATTTTATTGATAACAACTCAAAATAATATAAAACGCGGGTGCTAATTCGCTTGCCAAGCACGGAAATATGTGGGAAGGCTTATGTTTACAGTTGACTTTTGATGGTCTGTAATGAATTAAAAACAAAGAATACCACATAACATATATAAACACTCACGCCTGTCACCAAGAGGGGCACGTGGAGACTATGGATTTCGATTTGGCAGAAATCTGACACCTCTCTCGCCTACTTTACTTCCATATACTTATTCATACATGCTCGTTGGTTAAGGTACTCTTAACCTGGACGATCTTCAATATATCGCTAATTTGGTTGATAAACTTTCGTCTAGGGAGTCCCTTACTTACTCTACAGCTCACTTCTGCAATTTTGATTTGTCAGTCTTGAGAATACTACTCATTTTATAGTATAATGGTGACAAACGAGTACACAGTCCACCTGATGGTAAATGAATGCAGTGGCTCTCGATTAAGAATCAACATGCAGATGTGTTGTCACCCATGAGGACTCATATGTAATGGCTCATTTCCAGTAAAAAGGGTTCCAGTTCTCTACACTTACCATACGGAGCACAGCTGCTATTTCACTGTCCTTTGCCGCTCGAATCGACCCATTGTTGCTATAACCATGATGTAGCTGCAGCGTGGCTCTACTGTGTGATTTAAATTTTCAGGTTCCGGAGGATGGACCGTTGTGTGATCTGTGCAACGTGAGGTTTGTCTCGCAGGAGGCATACAAGCGTCACCTGCACGTTTCCGCGAGGCACAGCACGGGGGATAAGTGAGTTGGTATACAGTCGTTTCCTTCCACAGGGATACTTGTACTTCCTAATGTTAGTGATATGTTGAGTCAGATAGATTTGAACACTGGATAGGTGGTGGTTTTATTATTTTTAATATTATTTGTAAGCTGAAGTGGCATTGGGCCGGATATGCAGGATGTTAGTGTAAACACCGTTATCCTTGAAACCAGTGATTTGGTTTCACTTATAGAACGTAAATTTAATGAAAAACAACAACATTTTTTTAGTAAAATCTCAATTTTTCCTTAATTCCTCAATTTTTGCATGTCCTAAGCCAAGATGAAAGTATGAAGGAAAAGTTACATCACAATACACTACCTATTGTGTTTTTATTGGAATGTTGTGTAGGTAGCTGGGGCGGGCGGTGATCTTTACAGTGATTACGTCACTCGGGCGCATAGGGTATCCATGAATTTACGGACGGTGTCGGACAGAAACTTTTTAAATTTTATGAAAGATAATAGCGTTTTTTTTTAATTCGGATAAATATTTTTATATTAAACCTATGGATTTAGTGACAAGGGTGTTTACACTTACACCTTGTATATTTTGAAGAACTGACAACCGATGGTGGGAAAAGGTCCTCGAGTGACAACCTCGTACCAGAGGGCAGTGACAGGTGTAATGATGATATGTGTGTATTCTTTAACTGTGAATTCATTGCGATTTAAAATTATAATGTATTATTATTGTTTTTTAGTGAATCAAAAGAGCCTAACAAACCAAAAAAAGGTAGGAAGCCGAGAGAAGCAAAAGAAAGAGACATATCATCGAGGGAGAAGAGCAGAGAGAGAGAGCCGAGTGAGAAGAGAAAATTATATCCAAGCCAGATGAGGAAAGCAGAAGGACCAATACCATGTGAACAGGTATTAATAGTTTTTTTTTGGGTTCCATACGCAAAGGATAGAATGAAAGCCTATTAATGTTACTGTGTCTGTCAGTATGCCACGAATCTGTAGCTCGTATTTGAAATGAGACCTGATATTTGGTTATTTAGTGTATTGCAAATCATTTTTATGACAAAAGGAGTCAAAAATTTCATCACTTGTTTGTGTAAAGCGTAGCATTGACAAAAGAGCAGACAGATGAAAGAAGAAAAAGCGTGTAATTATACTGGCTCTCTATAGCCTCCAGACCGAAACGGCAGGAATACTTAAGACGGTGATACTAACCCAGACAGTTTTCAAGGCAGAAAAGGGTGTTCTACCGCTTAGAAATGCCATGTTTGTGTGGATTTACAGCAAAATTGAATATGCCAACTGTGTTATTTTTCTAGCATGTCGTAAAATGCGGCCTATATGATACTAGCTGATACCCGTATATAGTTTTAGAGATATCGTGATGAGTCGGTCAGTCAGTCAGCTAGTGGTATTTCTCTTATATATAATAATAGATTTGACTGCCTCGTTGGTCTAGTGGTTGTAGTAGAGCGACTGCTGATCATGAGGTCCTGGGTTCGAATCCCGGGTCGGGCCAAAAAATTAATTATTAAGTATTTCCATCAAGAAATTCTCAGTAGCTGCCCGGAGTCAAGAAGTTGTGATGTCTCACCCCCGTGCCTCAGAAGCACGTAAAGCCGTTGGTTCTGCGCCTGATCTATCTCCAGTCGTATAGGTTTACCGTCCCATCGGATTATGAGAGTCAGGCAATAGAGAGTGCACCTGTGCTTGCGCATACACTTGGGCACTATAATCCTGTCCTGCGCCGTTGGCTAGCCTCCGTTGAGGCAGGCCGCCGTGACCGAAATTCGGTCTGGAGGACATTATTATTATTATTACAGTTATAATAAGGTTGGGGAAATAGTTTCTTCGTATTTTATTTGCAAAGTTTAAATGCATTTAATTATAATATATTTGTGCCATTTTGTGCGATAACTCGTTGCCATCTTGTAGGTAGTGACATTCCCTTTGCTGTATCTTGGGATTTTTGATCAAAAAATTCGTCAAGTAGTTTCGACAGTCCTCTCTTCAATGTTCAATTGTTCAATTCTCAAGAGACTGGAACAATTGAACATCTGAGGGTGCAAGGTCAGGGCTATATGGTGGAGACATTAACATGTAATGTTGAACGGTTGGTAAATGAAAGGAAGACGTGTTTCTCTATAAGATTTATATTGTCACTTAGAGTAAGTACATTTATTAACATTGTAGTAGGGTGGGGCAACACTTCCCTACCAAGTCCGCTCAATTTTTTTCTGAGTGGCCTAAGATGTGTGTGGTATGGCGTTATCATCATGAAAGACCACGCTTTTTCTGTTGAGCAATTCCTAGCGTTTTTTCTCTATTCCTTGCTTGAGTCTCATTAGTTGATGGCTGTAGAGATCCGAATCGATGGTTTTGCCCGGCGGTAAAAGCTCATAATCCCACCGTACACACAGCATCCCCTTATTGCTTGTTAATCCGGGTTTCGCTACAGTCTCTGGAGCTTGTCTACCCTTTGACCATGATATTTTTCGAAAGTTCTTGTCGTAGATGATCCACTTTTCATCACCAGTGGTCAATCTTTTCAAAAATGGTTCGGTTTCATTACGTTTCAATAGAGAATCGCAAATGAGTACATGATTAATTATCTTTCTTTCTGTGAGCTTGTGTGGTACTCAAATATCGAGATTTTTTGTGTAGCCAGACTTATTCAATAGGGTCAAAACTGTTTTGCGGTCAATCCTTAATTCCTCGGTTATGTCGTAACTATGCCGATCTTGCTCCATTTTAAAAAAAATAGTAATGGCGATCTGAGCGAGCATCTTTGACAATTCCCGGGCTGAAAACGTTTGAACCAACTTTGTGTTACTCTTAATAACCGAATTAAGTCCATAAACGTCACAATTTTTGTATCGTATCGAATTTCTTCGTTAGATTCACTCATTTTGGCGGACAGAAAAACGAATGAAAAATGACGGGAAAGTGTTTTTTACTTTTTATTTTTCTTTTCATGTATATGTGTGGGTGCTGCTGACACAGTACACGCATACATCGCCCGTGTCAATGTTACATATGTAATTCGCATGAAATACGATAACGACCGCCGCCAACGGGACCGCAGTCTGTAAGTCGGTTAGCTAGAGTGCAGTAGGCGGTTCCTTTCTAAGTGTATCATGTGAAAACGCATCTCTGATGTAGAAAATATATCAACTACAACGTAATGTGAACAATTACTTCATTTTCCTCCCTACACAAGCTCCTAAGATACACTAGCCACCAAAACATTCACATATTATGTATTGATGTTAAAACCAATCAGATACAAACAGTGCAATCAAAGAGATTTTACTTCAATTTCATACACACAAAATACGAAAAAACTTTTTCCCGACCTATTATATATGATAGGCTTTGTGATTGTTTTTATATTTTAGACAAACAAAGTTTGATGATAAGTGTATGTTGATGTGTTGTTGCTCATGATCATTTACCTTTATCCTCGACCACTTTTCACTTTTTTTATATAGGATAGGGTGACAAACGAGCACACAGTCCACCTGATGGTAAGTAGTGCTACCCATACACATCTACATCTGTCCTCGATTACGAAAAACAATGCAGATGCGTTGTCACCCGTGAGGACTAAGATGGAATGCCTCGTTTCCAGTAAAACTGGTCTCCAGTTTCTACACTCACCATACGAAACACAGTAGCGTTAAGCTACTATTTGACTCTGGTATTCTGTGAGAGCGTGGTCCTTCCCCGGTGGAGCCGACCCATTCGTGCTACAACTATACTACTAATATAACTGCAGTATAGCCCTACCATGTATAAAATTCATTCACAATTTCCCATCAAAATCCATATCCGGCTAAAAGTGGTCCGAGTTGCTCGCTAACCACTGCCCATCCCGTGGACTATTACAGGTGTGACATTATGTATGTTAACATATGTATCGTTGCAATTTCAGTGCGGGATGCAACTGGAGGACTCGAGGGCCTACCATGGTCACTTCAGGAGGATGCATCCGGACAAGAATCGAACCAACTACCCGTCGATGAAGTCGCCGTGCATGTGCGAGCTCTGCGGCCGAATGTTCCAGGTAAGTGGACTGCTTGATTTATTTAGTGTCTTATGTACTTTGGATATAATTGCGTTTTAGACATGAGAAACTTCAAGATTCCTTAAGTTAACTCAGTAAATCTATATATAGGTATGTATCTTTAAATTAAGCAACCATTCCTTTACTTCAGTTTTATTATGTGTACACTCCAACCAATTTACATTCAATTTATTTATTGTTTCCATTTTTAAAAGTTTGTTTGTACATTTTTTTTGTAAGCATACTTATTTAGATAATCATGTATAAGGCCCGAGATATCCCTATATAACATTAAAAACCTCTTTGATGGATGAAGTATATAAAAATATATTCCCATTATTCGATCCGTCAACCATTAATCCGTTTCAGTGTTACTTATAGAAAACGTATTTTTAAACATGGTTTTGCATACCATAATCTTCTCTTTGTGGTCACTACCAGACAAAAGCGGCAAAAAAAACTTATAAACATTTAACCTCTTGGAATCCTGTGTCCATTGTTTTTTTCTTATTTCTTTCACGTGCGACGCAATAAAAGACCACTGCTGAGAATGATCACCTAGATCCCAAAAGGTTTTGAATATACAGTGGATTTCATTAATAACGCCCTCGGTTGTAACGACTTTTCGGTTATAGCGACGTCAAACTTACGTCCCTTGAATTTAAAGCATACTTTCGTAAGAAATTCATTCGGTTATAGTGTCAATTTCGGGTATAGCGACTTGTTTTTACGAGGGTGGATTGAAAAGTACTCGGCTCAACCAAGAAAATAAACACATACTAAATCAGTTATATTTTTATTTTTCTACATAATCACCATCAAGTTCAATACACTTTTGCCACCTCCCCTTCCAAGCATTTAGACCGTTGAAAAAAAATGATTCTTCCTTAGAGTCAAAATATGCGTCTACAGCTGCTTTGACCTCGTCGTTTGTCGAAAATCTTTGACCTCCCAAGTGCTTTTTTAGGTTAGGGAACAGAAAGAAGTCTGATGGTGCCAGATCAGGTGAATACGGCGGATGCGGTAACAGTTCAAAGCCACAGTTGTGAATTTCAGCCATTGACTGTACTGACGTGTGAACACGGGCGTTATCTTGATGAAACAGGACTTTTCTTCTGAGCATTTCTCGACGTTTTTCTTTTATTTCCTCTCGTAAACGACGTAGTAAGGTGCAGTAGTAATCAGAGTTTATAGTCTGACCCCTTTCAAGATAATCAATCATAATCACACCTTTCGAGTCCCAGAATACTGAAGCCATCACCTTATTTGCCGACAAAATCGACTTAGCCTTTTTTAGGGGGTGGTGAACCAGGTCTTCTCCACTGTTTTGATTGTTGTTTTGTTTCCGGTGTACAGTAATGAACCCATGTTTCGTCCATAGTAACAAAATGATTCAAAAAATCATCTGCATCGGCTTCAAATAACTCCAAACAGTCGCGTGAAATAGTCAATCGCGTCCTTTTTTGTTCAACTGAAAGCAGTCGTGGAACCCACCTCGCAGACACCTTGTGGAAACCCAACTCGTTGACAATGATGTTTTGAGTTCGTTCATAAGAGATGCCTATAATCTCGGCTATCTCTCTAATTTTTAATCTGCGGTCTCCCATTATTAAATCAAGTACTTTTTTAATATTTTCGTCAGTAGTTGACGTCGAAGGCCTTCCAGAGCGGGGTTCATCTTTCACACTCTCTCTACCACGCTTAAATTCTGCTATCCATTTTTTGACGGATGAATATGACAGAGCACAATCGCCTAATGTACTGACCATGTCATCATGGATGGCTTTTGATGATAGCCCCTTCTTATGGAGGTACTTATTGACGGCACGCTGCTCGATTTGCTCCATTCGCGGAAATTATGTCCGATTACTTTGTTAATAAATTTATAAAATCACAACTAATTATCGCACACGTTTCGAACTTCACACAATGAACTAGTCTGAACTGAACTAAATAATGTGGGTAGATTTGATTTTTAGAATTGAATGGATCTGTGTTAGGCCGAGTACTTTTCAATGCACCCTCGTATGAACCATTTATGACCGATTCCTAGAAATCCCTTGCGGATATTACGACTGAGTCGGCAAAGGCACAAAGACTCATTCATAAAACAATTAAGCTTTCTTATCCTTTGTTTACATTCACAGATGGTCTAGTTTGACCATCTGTGAATGTAAACAAAGGATGCTTGTTTGTATGTAGGACTACGTAGCATGTTTACGAAGTTAAATTTGTGAATCAGTTACATAGAAATTCCAGTGAGTGAACAGTGTTTCTCAACTTGGATGCACAAAACAATGTTGATCTGTGTAAACAATTTGGAGTTTCACATTCTACAATATCAACTATGTGGAAAAACCGCGCTAAAATTATGGAGTGTTTTGAATCAAAATCCCTGAAAATAAAGAAAAATCACAAAACACCCGTGTATAACTTAATTAAATAAATGATAAGTAAATATGTACATGACTTTTTATTATTTCGGATATAGAGACCTCCGGATATAGCGACGACATTAAAGTGGTCCCTCCGCCGTCGTTATAACCGAAATTCACTGTATTTTGGCGAGCTACCACATCCAATTTTCCAAAACATTTTAATCGACAGTTATAGTCAACCAAATCTTAGAAATACATTTTGACAGCTGTCAGACTTATTGCACCAAGCATGCTAACCAAAAAATTGGAACGTACCATATTCGATTCTTAAAATAATCGAGATATCGACATATATAGATTATTTAGAGTTGGTAATCATTTACAGTTTGGTTTGAATAATACCAGAATAAATTAGAGAAACGGATAATTTTAAACACAAGCTTTATCAGTTTCTTCGTATTTGTTGTTACTGCTTATTTCTAGGGGCAAAGTTATAAAAAGTAAGATTAAAACGAGATTAAAAACAAATTTATTCAATCACTTTCAGTACAACTGGTTGAGCTGTCGTTACTTAGATTAATTTTTATTTGATTTTCAATAATGCAGTCAAAATTAATGTCTCTTCCAAAGTCATCCATAATCATTTTTTTGTTTTTTCTACCACTTTTGCCTAATCATCTTTTGTGACATGGACACATACAATACAACGAATATAGAAGAAACAGTCCAAAACGTTAAAACAATAACGAGCACAAAATAAGAAGACAAACACAAAATCACGAAATTATGCACAGTAAGCTCCCGAAATGGTGGGAGATTGAAATTACGTAGTGGTTTTTTCAGCGCGGCCTTGTATATGATTTTTTACCTATACAAATTTACGTTGACAAAGTAAACAAAATAACTTGTTTTATTCGTGATTAATGTAATTTAAGGAATAAAAAAACATTTAATGAAATAAATAATACATTAAAAAGATTAATGATTCGAATATTTTAATATTTTTACCGATTATTTGAATATTTTTGCCGATTAGTCGCATAACAATGAATTTTAATTATCCAAACATTACGGTAAGGTACATAGCGACATATCATTGAAACGACGTCGAGTAAAAAAGTTGATAGTGTTTATTTTTTTAATATTTTGCTTTGTTTGAAAAATTCAAATTTTAACTAGTGATAAAAAAACAATACACATTGTAATGAAATATAGATAACTTCATAATTCTTCGCATTTACGTAAAAGGTTATTTTAAATCGTGTGCGTACGCTTGTGCAAAGTTATTGCGGAATGATGATGTGAAACGTCAAAAGGTATTTCTTAGATTTGGTTGACTATAGACGGACATGGAATCTTCTGGATTTGTTGTTTTCCGGATCGAGATGTATGAGCTTCACCTAAATTGACAAGCACCTTCCTTTTTTGATCAAGCTAGTTAGATTTGTTAGTAATTCTGTTCCTTGTTATTGCTTTTTTCACATACTGACGCCTTGTTTTTCGTTGGTACGGTGTCGATGAACCAGACATTTCACTGGATCCTAACGGGCTTGATCTTAAGGTTGCATCAGATAGGAGAACAGTACTTTCGCTTAAATAGTTACATTCGTTTACAGTGTCCCTAAAGGACATGCATGGACTTGGCATTGGTGTTGAAACTCAATTTTCAGGTATTGCTTGTGGTGTCTCATTTTCACAAATGGGCGTGGTGAGATCGTAATTTTCAATTTCAACATTCGAAATTTCCCCTACCGTATCGATTATATAATTTAAATCACTTTGCGATAATATATTAGCTGATATAATATGATATTGTTCTCCATCACTATGTGCTTCCAAAGGCTTTGTTTTTAACCTTGTTACTGTAAAGGATTATATATAGATAAAATAACGTAGAAAAAAAAGTTGCCATTGACATAATTTGCAAACAAGTTCCACTTTTATACACCTAGCATTTGTAAATATAAAAAAAAAACAAACACATTGAAATTAGGTAAATAGTGTATAATAAAAATACGAGTTCTAATAGAAAATAAAAAAGCGAATACAAAAAAAGTATGAGATGTTTTATTTAGTTAATACTGTCATCATTACTAAATTCTTAATAATCAGTTTTTTTGATAGTATAATCTTATATACCTATTGTATGTTGAATGTTGTATGTAAAAATTTGACTTTAATTGTGTAACATTCGCTAGGTGTGAAGTACCTTAACAAACATTATTATTAATTAATATTAGTTTCGTTATCATTGTTATCACAATAATCAGGTAATGAGATCACATGCAATTTTATAGATATTGTCACTCTCACTCAGGTATTCTTAATTACTAAATTAATTTGCCAATCAATGTATGTTATACATTTTAAAATTTTCTTTGAAAGTAATATGCCCTCTTCGAGATATATCAGGCTTTTCAAGGAACATTATGATATCATCATCATTCTTTACTTCTGATATATCCTCCACGTCTGGATAATGAAAGGAAACAAATTTACTATTTTTTATTTTTCTTAAAAATTTGACGTTAGGAATGTTATTGTCATTAATAGAAATGATGGTCCCCACAAAATACTTCACAGACTTTTTTGTTGTGAATCTTACTAGTATCCAATCACTAACTTCTAGGTTCTTTTTGTTTAAATTCGGTTCAAATTGTTCAATATTTGTAGTGTCTACATCATTTTTTACGTAAGATTTGTCATTTTCTTTTTCTCCTGTTGTGGCTTGCAACAAATCTTCGAGAAAGTTATCATCACTTTTTATTTCCGCTATAAAGTTTTCACGATAGGTATCAAAATCTTCATCAGAAAGTTCAGCAAAACTGGAATCTTCAGCAAAACTAATATCTAATTCACTTTCAGATTCTTTGTCATAATCAAAACACTTCTTTTGTTTCTTAGCTTTCTTTTTAACATTTTTATTAGGTTTTTGCTTAGATAAGCTCTTACTACAAGGTTTTTTTTAATATCTTTGCTTTCATCAGTCTCATCTTGTTGTTGTAATTTTATACAATTTCTTTTTCGATTTTGGTCCAATTATTTTTTAATATTTTTAGGGATTTTTATGGCAGTTCTTTCCTTTTCTTGCTTTATTTTTTCTTCGTTTCGTTTTTTTTCTATAAACTGTTCTCGCGTTATTATTTCACACCCCCCTAGCAATTTTAGTTTTTTTTTCAATTTTATTGTCGAGTCACTTTTCTTTATTGTCTGCAATAATAGAGTTTCGAAAGAAACTCTTTCCGAGGGAGCCAAAATTCTATCTTCAATAATTGTAATTACCTTTGAATCATTAGACTTATCAAATTTCATCTCCTGGTTTGGCAAAACTAATTTTGATGACGCTGCTATGGGATTTTTGCTAATGCTCAACTCTTGGTTAACGGCCGCCAAACTTAACTTTTTTTAATGTCTGAATCTGTTTTGGTATCGTTTTATGTTTCCTGAACCTTTTCAATGATTCTGGATCAAATTTTTCGTCTGCAACTACGTTTCTGTCAAATGGATATATGCCCCCTTTTTTAAAGCCATTTCTAATTATTTATGTGTCTAATTCACGCCACACTTCTCCAAGTAGGCGACTAAACTCATCTTTTGGCAATTTAGTGCCCACATTTAACCGTTGCCAATGCACAAGTTTTGCATCCCAAGTGTTTTTCATTGATTTAAAAACTGATAAATCTAATGGCTGCAGAAGATGGCTTGCATGTGATGGTAATTTTATAATAGTTACGCCTCGTTTTTGTGCTTCTTCTAAAATTTTAAATTGGATATGGGTATAATGGCCATCAAATATTAATAAAGCGGGTGGATCTTCACTTAAACGCGGTAGCACTGTGTTCAACATGTACTTTTCAAATACTTTTGCACCGATCCATCCATTTTTAGTGGCAGTATAGGATGTGTTTTCAAATCCTTTATCTGACGGCCATTGGTCTCACGTATTTTTTCCTCTGTGTATAATCAACGGTGGTAATTTGTCACCGATTGCGTTGACTGTGAACAAAATTGTGGCATTATCTTTTCCAGATGACGCGATTGTGCGTGTACTGGCACATCCACGGGCTCCAACCACTTTTGTTCGTTCGGGATCTTTTCCAAAACCTTTTAAATTAAGTTCACTCAAAACTCCATCAAGAGTATCAAAATACTCATTAACAATAAAAGGGTCACATGCTACTTTTCTTGACATTTCCACCGCCTGAGGTCTTTTTAAGGACAAATTGTGCCTCTTCTTGAAGGCAGCAAATCAATCACCGGGTCTGTTGTTTTTGAATGGAGTTTTGTAGTTATTTTCACTCACGTGTACGGCAACTAAATCTAGCGTTTCTTTGGAAGTGAGTCTGAACCCATATTTTTCCATAACCCGTAAACCATTTGCAAGTTTGAGCTCATTTTCTCTGTCAATCACTGTAGGTGGACCTCGGCTCTCCTTTACGATACCATTTTTGTTATTCACTCTATCACATATAGTCATACGAAGAATGTTATACTTTTTTGCAGCTTGGTACGAATTTATTTTGCCAGCTTTGACTTCATCTACTGCTTTCCTTAATGTTTCAAGATCGTAAGTTGGTGTTGTTTTTCTTTTATATGAACAAACCATTTTAAAAAATCTAAAAGAAAAATTTAGACCATCTAGAAAAAAGTGTCAAATAAACAGTGAAATTACCCAAAAAAAACTTCAAATATTACAAACAATATATTTTGTTTGTAATATTTAAAGTAATTCCGTTTCACTCGCGAGAAACCACCTACTTCTTCCAAAGTCTGTTAAAAGCCTATATTATGTATTTATTAATCCAGGGTCTAATCTATCTCCATACCAAATTTCATCAAAATCTGTTCTTTCGTTTAGGCGTGAAAGAGTAACAAACATGCATATATTCATCCATCCATATATAAGTAGGGAATAACTATATTAAAAAAAAATGATTTTAGTGTATATGTATTTAAATTAATTATTGCATTATTGTTATCTTAAAATAAAAACGTTTAGGACCTCATACAATGGGGTATTGCGTTACAATAGACGCAATCACCCCAATAAGGCAGACGCGATAGCCCCGATAAAAAAGCATAACCTAAAATATTTTAACTGCACGTGGACAATTAATCTTTAGGCCTTTACTAAAAATAATTAAAACAAACCGTAAAACATTTCAGAATGAAAGGTACTTACAGGCAAAAAACACCGATAGTCTAGAAAACACTGAGATTTAAGGGGATTCAATAACCACATATCACTAACGCGAGCTTCGAAGTGAAGTGAAATATTCAAGATGGCGAAAATTTAAACAAAAATGAGGCCAGTATCGACATCTACTAATTAAATATTTTAGTCTGGTGCTAAATATGTTTAAAAAATGGCGTGAGTAGTTCTTAAATTCGTATTTCATATGATATTTGAATGTGACGCCTTAACCCCTAAGACGCCTTAGCCCCGGTTGACCTTAGTGTTTATTTTGTTCAAGACTCTAAATAAAAAAATAAAAGTGAAGTGAAGTGACTGGATGATTAAGATGATGATTGCTTAAATAGTAAAATACTCGTTATAATATCAGCTATCTGCCAATGAGTCCTGTAAGTCGGTCCAGCTGTTTCACGTGAATTTGATTTATTTATATAGGGTTATTGATTCAATTTGATTTATTTGTGTGGATTATTTGCTAATGCATATTGATAACAATGTAAAAACTTACAGAACAATGCGGTGTACGTTTTAAGCATTCCACTGCTGGTTGCATTCCGTGTTTGGGCAACTACACTAACTTTCATCTTCTTCATTTTTGCTACGTAAACACGGTGCTCTGTTAGCTTTTTATGCATTCTAGTAGGATGCAGTTGGCAATCAGCGTCAAATATAGTTTCTATATCCTTCCATGTGTCAACTTTGCTTTTGAAAACCATGTCTTTTGTAAGAAGGTTGTTCTTAAGACCCTTAAGTAAGTGCAAGAGATCATATACCACACTTAACTGTTGTCCTGATATCTCAATTCATCTGCAGACAAACAAATATTATTTTCAACTAGTCAATTTTATGGATTACACACTTAATGTTACTAATTTATAAATGTCAAAGTTTAGATGTTATGCAATTGTAGTTTAACAGCTGGACACATTTAGATTAAACTTGGCACACAGATAGACCACAACCTCGACTAACATACAGATGGATATTTTGATATTTTAATGATGATGGATACTTTTAAACCTAGATCATTTCCAACAGATATGCAGACAATGTACATGCTAAGGCTATCTATGTTTTTATTTGTAAAGTGAGTTTATTTACTCATCATTATATTCCTCACTTAAAATCCTTTTGCGTTGTCACCATTTTTATTATATTTGTGGCTGTTCTAAATGTCGAGCCCTGGTCAAACACAATAGCTAAAGGTAGGGGAGAGGTGTCCTAAGTGTTACAAAAATCAAGTTTAAGTTTTTACTATGAAGAGATTAAATAAAACAACCAATTTAACTATGTTAATATTTGGTCTTTCAGCCATCATTAATTAAAATAATAATACTTAAAACATTTTTTGTAATACTTAAAACATATTTGTCATAGTTTGAAAAAATCAACTCTGTTGTGACAAGTTGCCCCCGATCTGGGGTAGGTTGTCCCAAGAATAGGTCCATTTTGTCACAGGTCACTACCGACATCACTATCCTCATCTGAGTCACAATTTGGACAACAATAAAATAAATAGTTCTTCCCAAAGCATTTTCTATGAGCCCAAATCTTGCATTTCGTGCATCATACACAGTCTTCGTGGGGTTTCGCTTCAGACCATGTTCCGAAGCAACAAACTAAACATGTGTCATCTGCCGAATCATCGTCATCGCTCGTAACATCTTTACGTTTTCTATTTTTCTTAGTTTTCTTTTTTGATGGTACTTTTGGCTTAATTTTTTAGTTTTCTCGCTCTGCTAAAGCATTTTACCGGGGTATCTGTTCAAACAGCGCTTATTGTCTTTCTACGATTAGAAGTGGTTTTCTTTTCAGGCGCCTTCAGGAATGGCATAATTAATTCAGGCGTTGGTACATTTTGTGCTGGCATGATCACTGCACTGGGTCCAGTAGTTGGTGATGGAGTTCTGTATGTGTCTAACATATTTTCTACGATTGGGGCATCACTGGCTACATTTTGATCAGGCTGATGATTTTCTTGTTGAGTTGCGGGCCTGTCTGTTACATAAGACGTCGCAAAATCGATATCAACGAAAATGTTTCGTTCAAAAGGCCATATTCCACTCACAGCAAAACCAGACATAATATTTTGAGGAGTTATGGCTGATGGCAAACTAACTTTAATTGCAGGGTTGTCATAAATTGTCATAATTTGTTAGCCTTTTCCGATTTCTAAGCATATTTGCTACCTATAACAAAAGTTATAGCTAAATTACATTTATATCAATAGCTGATGGGGTTAGTTGTCAAAGTGAAAACTAGACCCGAAAACGTTGACACAACTTGTACCGAAGGCAAGAACCGGTAGATATTCAAAACTAACCTCAAAATGTTTACCAATGAAATAGTTATTCGTTACTACTTAAAAACTGACTTATTTCGTTCTCATAATCCATCAAAACCTTGAAAATATCTTACTTACTACCAGAAAGACATAATATACAAAAAGAGAATAAAATTTATTTACCAAATGACTAAAGACTGGCACCATGACACTTTCTTATGTTGGTAGTACTGGGATGCGTTCCGAAACCTCAGTAGGTGCGTTCTATTAATCCTTGTATTTAAATAGATGTTGGGTGTGTTTAGCAGAAAAAAGCGCTAGAAAACGCTTGTAAGCAAAATGGCGATCGCTAGGCGGTAAGCGCTGTCAAATGGTAAATAGCTATTTTCCTCTAGGACGCTAAGTTAGCTTTAACCGGGGAACCTAAACTAATTTAAATATATGTTTGTAAATTATTCATATTAAAAACTTATCAATTATGAACAATATATTAAATATGTAGTGAATAATGAAAAAGAGTTAGAAGATTGTTTCTAAATAAGTTGTTGATTTATAACTGAAGTAGTATTTTGTACTACAAGTGTTGTAATATTTTTTGGACTGACATTATTATTTATTTTAATATTACTTGAAACTAATTGCACAAAACAACTTATAAACTCTACTTCAAAACGAACAAAGTAAATAAGCAAAATGGCGAATTGTGTAGGCGCTATTGAAGTTAGCAAACGTGTCCTGGCCGAAAACTGTATAGTTTGTTTTTCAGCGCTAGTAGGCGCTCTCAAGCGCTTTTTTCTGCCAAACGCTCCCATTGACTTTGTGACAACGAGGACACCTCTCCCCTATACAATCTGACGCTGACACTTTAGTGACCACTTCCTTTAAAATCCTTACTACTGTACGGAGGTACTACGGTAAGGCCTCCAATTTGAGTACACTCCTTTTAGCATGAATACTAAGCCAAGATAGCAAAACCTCAAGTCTTTTCCATAGCCAAAGTCTTTAAAACCTCTTATCTCATCTTGGGACTCAACATAAGTGAGATGAAGTGTAAGAGTAACTTCATCAAACAAAATAGAGCACAGTTTCTTCTTTGTGTCCCATTTTTGTGTTTTGTTCTAATTTAGTACTCTAAAAATATTATCATTTAGCCCCACATTGAATATTATACAGGTTGGCGCAATGCAACGTGCGTATTCAAAAATAGATTACAAAATAAATACAAAAGGTACGGTTAAAATAAAACTAAGGAATTGTAAAGTAAAAACTGAAGTTTATTTTTTTAAAATAACATCATCTAAATGATGACCCTCTCTACGATGGCACTCTTCTAACCGCGAACGGAAATTATTAAAAACTTTCTTCAGTAATGCTGATGAAATTGCTGCCACGGATATTCTGCTTGAGCTGATCGATGTTGTAATGTGCTGTAGATCCCAGGCATCAATATTTAGAAAGAACAAGTAACACTATTGTTATATTCTGATATCGGCTCGTAGTAAGCGTCCACGTCTTCTCCCTGCGGCGGTCGGTCGGGCAGTGCCGCCACGCCCCGCGAATCCGCGCGTGCGCTTCTCGAGACGACAGAGTTATACACCACTATAAAATGTCTATACGCTACAGATGTTTCTCGGATTATTACTGTAGACTTTGTGTTTGAGGTATCCCCACAAAAAAGTCAGGAGGCGTCAAATCTGGACTACGAGGGGGCCATTGGACATCACCTCTTTTCGAAATCAGTCTGCCTGGGAACCTTTGTTTCAAAACCACCATGGAGTAATTTGACGTGTAACTGGTAGCTCCGTCTTATTGAAACCAAGTCCTAGAATTCACTGTTCTTGAAGTTTCAAGTTCTGGAGGCAAAAAACTTTCCAACATTGCAACACATCGTTCGGTATTAACAGCGATGTTTTGCCCCCGCGCATTTTCAAAGAAAAAAGGACTAATTATTCCTCTGCCCGAGATTGCTGCCCATACTGTTGAGGCGGTTGGTGTTTAAAATAAGGCAACAACCAGTCATAAAAAAAAATTATATATTGGTAAAAGAAAAGGTCGTGGGCGAGGTTCCGATAATTTAAAAAAAGTGCCCGTCTGGCTTCACTGGCAGGGTCAGGTACTCCCCTATGTGGCCGCGAGGTGGTCGAGCAGGGCCGGGAGGTTGGACTGTTCACGGGGAGCGCCGTGGGCAGCTGGCTGTGGCGGTGGCGGCGTCGAGGGGAGGCCTAGGCCCTCTTAAGAAGGACGACCGCCACGGTTGTAGTCGTAAAATTGCACCCTGGAAACAACGTCGTCCACATTTAGGTCCAGGTAATAAAATGCCGCCGATTATGAACCCCCGGTATATCGCAGGCTAGCAGTAGATGGGAGCACAGAGAGTAGCTGGCGGGTGTTCATAATCAGAACGGAACGCAAAGAGGTAAGTGTTGAGTCGTTACTGACTTAATCTACTCCGTTCCGTTACAATTATAATATCAGGTGCTAAGAACGTTCTGGTTGACTAAAACGATTGGCGTATAAAAGAAGCAGTAAAAAGAATAAAGCAACTGCCACCAAAATAAAAGAAGCAGCGCAACAAATAATTAAAATACGCAACTAATGTGTACTCGAACAATTAAATAAAACAACAACAAGATAATAATAATATGCCTAAGAATTAAAATAAAAAACAATTGATTGAATAATTTAAAATACTACCAACGCATGCGTGACTCAACTGAACTAGAGTTCTGCAGCAACAATAGGGAATAGTTACAATTCATAAAATTTCAATAATAATAATATCACAGAAAAAAAAACCACGAGAAAAAAAAACTACTGCAGAATAGAATAGTAATACCTCGGAACAATATTAAATTTACTCTATCACAGATTACACAGTGACCACTCTGCACGCTAACTACTCTGTACAATGATAGAACGTAAACAACATAGGGTAGTGCACGGCATAGAGTGATTACGAAAAGTTATTCGAAACTAAACAAATAATATAAATAATACAAGTAAATAAATAAATCAATTGAAATTCAATAAAATTCCTAAAACAAACACAATAATGAAATTCGTACACATTAGTTGCTGCAACCAAAAAACAAAAAAAACAAAAACGTTTCACAAACACAAAACGACACAAACACCAACTACTCCTACGCAGTGAAACCAGACCTTTTTTTACCACGTTTATGGGCGCCAGTGAGGCGGTTGTTGTTTAAAATAAGGCAACAACCAGTCATAAAAAAAAATTATATATTGGTAAAAGAAAAGGTCGTGGGCGAGGTTCCGATAATTTAAAAAAAGTGCCCGTCTGGCTTCACTGGCAGGGTCAGGTACTCCCCTATGTGGCCGCGAGGTGGTCGAGCAGGGCCGGGGGGTTGGACTGTTCACGGGTAGCGCCGTGGGCAGCTGGCTGTGGCGGTGGCGGCGTCGAGACGACCGCCACGGTTGTAGTCGTAAAATTGCACCCTGGAAACAACGTCGTCCACATTTAGGTCCAGGTAATAAAATGCCGCCGATTATGAACCCCCAGTATATCGCAGGCTAGCAGTAGATGGGAGCACAGAGAGTAGCTGGCGGGTGTTCATAATCAGAACGGAGTTACAAGGCGGAATGGAAGGCAAGCGTCATAGCGGTGAGGCGCAAATTAAAATACACATGAATTAAAATTACGGCAAGTGTAAAATACTGTTTAAATGTACCAGGATAACTAATTTAGGCTGTGCATTGGTTGAAACATGATGGTGACTTGCGATATTTGATCGCGGTGCGAAATGTATGAGACGCCATTTTGTAACGGTACTTTTGCCAACGCACACAGCGGCTACATACATTACTTACATGCAAATAACACTAATAACGTGGCAATTAAATAGCTAAAAGCAAACAGCCTGGCATGATCAAATTACACTACCTATAAAACACTTTCACTACTTAAAACTAGGTAACGTTTCAACACTTACCCTTACGGGGTGCAAGACGATACGGAGGTCTCGGTGACGAGAATTAACGAAAAAACTATACGGCCACAGTGCCGGAATTATTATATTATTTTAAACTTTTTTCCAAAATGGGATTAAAATTTGCAAGCGCGTACGAGAACACAAAGCAGAGCTTGTGAACGCGGCTGCAGTGGTAGTGTGCGCCTCCCAGGGCGCTCGGGCGGAGAATGACCGGGAGCGCGACGCCGTGGAATGATACCGGCCGGGTAAAACTCTGACGCGAGAGTTGCAAAGCGCATAGAGTAACGAAGCGTCAGAGTGTTTGTTCGAAATACAATATTTTAATATTTGATTTATTATTTAATTCGTTCTTTTAGTTTACTGATTTGTTTTATTAATAGGATACGTAAGTTAATTATAGAATTATTTTTGTTAATAACTTTTATTTTATTTTTATTTAGTTTATTAAATGTTTATTTAATTTTAATAAACCGTTTAATTATAATTATGCATACATGTACGTGCAACGTTACACTGTCATTTTAGGACTATGCAGTGGTTTCTGGTGTTTGAGTTTGGGATTCTTACTGTTCCAGTAACAATTTTGAGGGTTTACAAACCCATTGATATGGAAATGGGCCTCAAAGAAAAGGATATTGTCAAAATTGGAAAATCGATTAAGCATTTCATTAGCAAATGCGAGCCTTTCTCTGAAATATCATTCTTTCAATTCTTGTGTTAATTGCAGCTTGTATGGATGCAGTTTAAGATCCAAGTTTAAAATTCGTTGCAAACTTCGTCGCGATAAGTGTAAGACAGACGATCTCTTGCGAGTAGACAATCGTAGATCTTCTCGTACAGATTGCATAACTCTCTCAATATTGTCTTCGGTCCTAGATATTCTAGGACGACCTATTGCTTGTGGTTTAAACG